AAGAAAAAAAATGTATCTAAAAATTTTTCTAACTCAAACAACTATACACTTAAAACTTATTGAACGTAAATCTCTCACAGGCTTAAAAGCATGTGTGTGTGTGTGTATTTTATGAATAATTTCTTTTTTGTACCTTAGAGGCATTGCTAAGCTAGTTTTTATTGTTAAAAGTGTGGGTCGTATGAGCCCACGGGCTAAGCCCGAAAACTTGTAAAGGTTTGATGAACCTGCAGCAAAAATATATTTTACTGTGTATGTAAATATATTTAAGAGTTTAACAATAGATTATGTACAGGAGAGGGTTACATACACCTTAACCTAAATATAAATAGTATTATTTATTACTGTTATAAGTAAAAAGAAAAAAGAGAGGAAACTAAGTTATTCTATCATCATCTTGTTCTCGTTTCTTACTTGCATTCTTGCTTCATCTTTTGTAAATCCGTAAAAATCTACTTCAATTCTCTACTGTTTCAAGTCATCACACATGTACATACCAAAACTAAATTTCTTACTAATAATTTTAAAGACATACTTTTTCACTTTGATCTGCTATATTTAATTTTATTTATAAATATTACAAGTCTAAATTAAATTTAATTAGCCAACTTACAAAGTGCATTTTGTTATCGGAATGTTAATCAATTCGGAACTAAAAGCATATTTAACTTAACCGATTTTTTCAGTCAGTTTGATTTTCGTAATGGGAATAATGACCAACTTGCGATTTAGAACTGAATTGAACACCACTAGTTAATTGCTAACTCAAGTCTTGTCTCTTACAGAGTCAAATTTATTGCTTGATATTTCGAGACACTTGGACCATATTCCTTTTTAATTGCCTGTGCCAAACAGGGTCTAAATGCGGCGTATGCATCAACCTTGATCAAATTCTATATTTTCTCTCACTTTCTACAGCATCAATTCTATGTACCTGTTTTTGTTGTTGGTCATTTTCAAGTCTTCGCACATTGACCGACCAAAAGAAAAGACAAGAAAAAAAAAAAACCAAAGTCTTCCCCTGTTCGTGATGTTGATTGGTCTTTCAGTCACCAACCGGTTACTATATCATGGCTCCTCAATCAAGGCCCAATTTGAAAATTGATTGGCCCGTACTGTTTTCAAAGTTCAAATTCCCCGTTAAGTTGTCGTGGGCTTTGTACCAAATAAAAATTTATAATCTAAAGTTTATACTAATGTATAAAAATACTTTTAATTTTAATCTTCTAAATTCATTTATATTTTTTAGATATATAAATATATATATATGAATTTATGTGTCTATTGATATATATTTTAATTTGCATAGTAATAAACAAAATCGGTGAGTGTTTTAACGGTCAAATTTTTAAAATTTATTAGAATTTTATAAGTTTAAATTTTATTAAAAATATAAAATTTATTAATTATTATAAGGTGATAGTATTAATTCATAATATTTAATTTAATAAATTTAGAATTTCGGTAATTAGTGTGTTTAGAAAACTTTATTAGTTACAAATTAATAGAATTAAGGTAACAAAGAAATTTCTATTAACTGTTACATTGTGGTTTCCGGAATTAAGGATTTACCTTTTGTGCTGCAAAAATGCGCAACGTGGTGATATGTGATTTGATTAGATGAAGAAGACGACGATCCGATACTGTTCCCAGTCGGTCAACCTGTCAGCGTCTGTAATCTGAGTCCTTCTCGCAACTGCTATTTCTATTCACAGAAAAAAGCATCGACATTACATCTCTTCCCCAGATGCTACATTTGGATTATTCTCAGCCAAACAATCTACTCCATAGCAACTGAAAATTTATTGTATCTATCAAACTTCACTACATATTCTAATGGTGATTCTTGTCTGCTCCTCCTCTTCTCATTTCCACCTCCTCTGCTCTGCTTGCTCAGACCTAACCGAAAATGGCAGCTGCCGCGTTCTTTCTCCGTCAACCTACTTTCAATTTTCTTCCTAATTCTTCTTCTAAGCTTAATAGTTTTAGTTATCGTCCAAGACCTAATTTCTGTCTTCGACTTCAGAGCTCGAAATCGGGTTTTCTCGGTGGGTTTCTGTCCAGTGAAAGAGGGGTGTTGGGTCCAAAAACCATGGCGGAGGCGTTTAAATGTTATACTTTTAGGAGCAACGGCAATCGGGATGAAGGAGTCCAAGTGCTTGAACAAGAAGTTCTGATGGATGACTCGAACGGGTTGTTGGCTAGTGGATTCGAGTCCATTCTTAATCGTCTGGTTAGTGAGTATCAAGCATATATTTACATATATATGTATGATATTCGCGAAAGTAATTGAAATTTATTGCTGTGTTTCTATATTTAGTAAGTTATGTTTCTAGATGTAGTGAGTTTAACAAATGATTTAGCCAAGAATCAAGACTTCAAAATCTAGATATGTATTCATTTTATACTTCAAATTTAGGTTATGCAGTTGGGAACTAAATGGTTTTATAATTTTCTAGAAGCCTGAATTTTTGAGAATCAGTACTTCAAAATCTAGACATGGACTCATTTTTTTACTTAAATTTAGATTATCCAGTTGGGAACTAGATGGTCATTTGTAGGAGGTGGCTGGCCAACGTTTTGAGCAAATTTATAACCGACTACAGCGGTCAATCCTTGAATTGCCCAAAATAGCTCAGTGAACTTTGCCTGGGTTGGAGTATGATGCGAAACCCCAAGATTCTTACTTGAACCTTAAAACTCTTCAATCGGTGTAGAACATAATTTATATCACAATTTAAAAGAAATTAAATTTGTTCAATCATTCAAATGGTAGAAGTTAAATAAAACTTAAGAAAGATAAATGATATCTCTTGAACCCAATCTAAACAAGCACCAAGAACAATTGAAATAGAAAATCAAAATTGAAATACAAGTGATAACAATTGTATTCCAAATCAACACCTTGTGCATAAAGTGAAAAAAATGTCAAAACACTCTGAACTCAATTATGAAATATTTGATTACAACTCTTGATGTCCATAAAGAAGAGTTCCTTTGGTCAAAGAAATCAATGATAACTTACAACAAAATAATTACAATTGTAACTTCTACAATAAGTAGGCTAATTATGTGATAATTACAATTGTAACTCCAACAATAACTAGGCTAGTTATAGGCATGTAATTGTTATGTAACTCCTTATAACTCTAATCTTCTTAACAAACAGCCTTAATTGTTTGTGGCACCATATAGTTATGAATTCATTCTTGTAATAATACTGAAACAATATTTAAGCCCAAATGAGTTACACTTGACTATATGGGCTTACTTAATTCAAACTAAAATAAAACAATTCAAAATATTTAAAACAACTCAACTAATTCAACCCATACAAAAGGCTTATTCATCCATTACAATAGAACTCAAACAAATTCAAATTATCCCAAATCATTTAAGCCTAATTAAAGTTACGAAATTTGGGTTGTTCAAAAAGCTCATATTTGAACTTTACACAATTGGTCATCTCATCATCCACATGTTTTTGAGTGAAAACTTGGAGCAACTCTTTAAACTTCTTTGCCTTTGATCTTGTTACTTGTCTACTGAAACTTTCTAGGTTTGGAACTCTATTTGTGTTCACATCATTTGAAATTTGTTCCAGTCATCTTTGATGCTTTTTTAGTATTTTGAGTGTTTTTATCATTGTTTGCATCATTCCCCCTCCCCTCAAAAGGATTCATCCTCGAATTAATTCCTGCATCAATTTCAAAAAGGGATAAATCAGATATGTTAAATGTAGCCGAAACACTATACTCACCTGGTAAGTCCACTTTATAGGCATTTTCATTGATTTTGGCTATGATTTAAAATGGACTATCCCCACGAACATCCAACTTAGATTTTCATTTTGATGGAAATCAATGATTTCATAGTTTTCTTAGAAGCCTGAATTTTATGAATAAATGCAGAACAAATCTAACAATATTTTGCAAATGCATACGTAAGTTAAGTAGGAAATTATCAGCTAATTCAATTAGGATATCATATAAACTATATTAAGGTGATAAGATTTTTATGTAGAATTGAAACAACAAAATCATTTTTTAAAGAAAAGTTTTCAATATTTTTCAGTTGAAGTATAAGTTTGTAAATAAATTCTGTCAAATTTATAGGTTTATTCTAAATATAACCTTAATATAGAATCACGGATATAACCTTTGTGATCTTATTGGGTGGTGTAGTGTAAGTGGTCAGTATTAAGAACAAACAACACCATTTATCTGTACCATTTATTTGATCATGTTGATTGAAATTTCTGGTTTTGAGGAGGTTATGCTTCATAATCTGTTTGTTGTTTTTGACAGAGTAAATGGCTTGTAGCTGCCCTTTTCGGTGGAGTCATTCTATGGAGGCATGATGCAGAAGCCTTGTGGGTGGCTATGGGTTCTGTTATAAATGCTATGCTCTCAGTTGTACTCAAGCGTATATTAAATCAAGAGCGGCCTTTTTCGACCATGAGATCTGACCCTGGGATGCCATCATCTCATGCACAATCAATCTTCTATACTTCAATGTTTGCTGTTTTATCAGGTGATAAATGCTTTCTATTCTTTACATCAGTATGAAATGAGTTTTTTCTCCGCCTTTGACGATTTACAAATTATAGTTTGGGTGTAAGATATTTTGAGCTAAATTGTTTAATGCTTGATATTCGTCATTGTGCTTCATTCAAATATGATATCATCACGTGATATCAAAGAGCGATGAGGAACTAGTACAAAACTACGAATGGGAGAAAAAAGCAGGTTAAATTGGCTGCAGAACCCGATTAATAACAGTGTCAAACATGAGTATCTTAATTCATCAATTTATTGATAATTTTTCATAAGCTGTTTCATGATTCTTCTATGTTTTTCATTCATTTGTTTTTTGAATTCGTGTCGAACTCTATCTCTGTTTTGGAAGATTGTTTCCTTCATATTGGCTTTTTATTGATCAAAGTACTTAGTGTCTTCTTCTAGCATGAGTAAATAGGATGAGCGTGTATCGTGTTCATGTCCCTTACCTTTGTCAGAAAATCTTTTTCCCTTGTCAGAAAATCTTTTTCAGCTGTCTTCAATCAGACATGTAATAATTTTCTGCTTTCTACTGTTGCAGTTGTGGAATGGCTTGGTATAAATGAATTCTCATTGACTATCAACGGACTCATCCTGGCATTTGGTTCATATCTTGTAAGTATTATTATTTGCTCCTATGTTAGTCAAATGCTTTGTATCAAATCCTTGGTTGATCATATTATGACAAAGGCTAGCAGATGGATTTTGCGTCTAAACTAGATCAAATTCCAGTTATCCTTAGCTAAATATTTCAAGATTGTCAATGGTGAAAATTCTCTAAACTTCATTCCAAAGTTAATTTTGATGCAGTTTAATAATGTAGAATAAATAACCTAATTTAGGTCTTAAATGAAACTCAGTGTCTTAAATGAAGCTCGGTGATGGCCCTTAATATTCTATCCAAACACTAACCTAATTGTTTTTTTTTTCTCTCGAGTCTTATTAGTCAGCATCAATTAGAGAATATTGAGAAACATTCTAAAGTTATGGACAGGATGAGTTTCCAATTGAACTAGAATTATGAGTATGTCAGAGTTGTGATATCTTTTAGGAATTCCAGGCTCAAACTTTGGTGCAGAAACCTAACTGTTACATGAATTGCCGTGCTGGTTTATTCCGCAAATTCTTTTCTTTGACATGATATCTCTGTTATCCATTCTGATTCTTTTGCCATAAGTTGACTTAGAATCATTTTAGTTTATAAACCTGGCATATTTTCTGCTCTCATTGCTGAATGGATAATGCCCTCAGACAGTAGAGAATGGACATGTTGGTCATGTATCTCTAATCTGTGTTTGCAGTCTTGGTTGAGGGTTTCGCAGAGGCTCCATACAATCAGTCAAATAGGGGTGGGTGCTGCCGTTGGATCCCTGTTCTCTATTTTGTGGTACTTGTTCTGGAAAGCCATTGTTTCTGAAGCATTTGCTTCTTATTTATGGGTACAGATAGTTGTTATTTTTGGGGCTGCTGCATTTTGCTTAGGCTTTGTTATATATGTTATTTGTTACTGGTTTAGAGATGAACGGTTGTAAATACATTGAAGAATTTTTTAGATGATATACATTTCATGAGTTCAAGGAACAAAGTGATTTTCTTCTGTAATGGTAGAAGAACGTTGTCATTGACATATTTTCCTTATTATACAACATTATTTCCTCACAACCAAGTACCAAGTCACGTTAGGAATGGGGACAGTGGCAGGTTTCAATTACATTGCCGAAGGGATGAAAGATTCATCTATCTAGTCTAGCAATAGGTTAACCAAATAAAAACCAAGCAGAATAATTTGGAGATGCTCCAGTGCGCTGAGAATACCAGTAACCATTCACAAAAGAGTGG